TTTTTAAAAATTGTGAAAAACATTAAGTCAAGACGATTTTCAAGGGTGTGAGTCTGGAACTTGTCTTTATGAAATGGATTTATTTAGATCCCCAAGGATTAATTGGGTAGGTTTGAAAAACTAAGCTTTTATTCTGAATTCAGAAAAGTAGCAGTGGCCTAAAGACATATAAAAGAACTCATGTTGCTTACTCCTAGGGCTCCTGTATGATGGGAATAGTTAAAAGAATTGCTGGTCTTAGCCCCTATTTAAGGAGTCTGTAGAAGAACCCAAAGGAAATCAGGGAGACAAAAATAAGGACACTAGAGAAAGCTTTAGTCTCCCACACAATAGCTACAGCAACCACTAAACAGGCTAACTTCTAGCTGGAAAAAACACACACTAAAGTCCTATCTACTGCTCTTCCTTTTACCCAATACATCATGTCAAACTTTCAACAAAAGATTGCAAGACATGTTTAAAGGCAAGAAAAAGATAACAGTCTAATATGAAGAAATGCTCAACATCACTAATCATCAGAGATGCAAATTAAAACAACAATGAAGTATCACATCACACCTGTCAGAATGGCCGCCATCAACAAATTATCAAACAACAAATATTGGCAAGGGTGTGGAGAAAAGGGGACTCTAGTGCACTGCTGGTGGGAATGCAGACTGGTGCAGCCACTATGAAAAACAATATGGGGTTACCTCAAAAATTTAAAAATTGAATTGCCATTTGATCCAGTGTTCCCACTTCTAGAAATATACCCTAAGAAGCCTGAAACACCAATCAGAAAGAATATATGTACCCCCATGTTCATAGTAGCACTATTTACAATAGCTAAGATCTGGAAACAGCCCAAATGTCCATCAGTAGATGAATGGATAAAAAAGCTGTGGTACATATGAAAAGTGGAGTACTATTAAGCTGTAAGGAAGAAAGATTTCTTATCCTTTGAGATGACATGGAGGGACCTGGAAAGTATTATCCTAAGTGAAACAAGCCTAGCAGAAAAAGACAAATACCACATGACCTCACTTATTTGTGGAATATAATGAACATAACAGTCTGAGGAATAGGGTAGCCCCAGAGACGTGGAAGTAGGGTACAGACTGACAACCCTCAGAAAAGGGAGGGGTGGAGGGAGGGAAGAGATAAACCACAGAACTCATACGGACAACAAAGCCAGGGACGGGATGGGGGGTATGAGGAGGGTGTCCATGGGGTAATAAACGAGAAACATCTATAACAAAAATAAAATAAAATAAAATAATCAAATTAAAAAAAATCAATGGAAAAAATAAATTAAAAAAAAAAAAAAAAGATAAGAGTCTAAAATGAGGAGGCAAGCATCAGAACCAGACTTGGGTATGGAAGGGAATTTGGAAACATCAGATGGGGAATTTAAAATAAGTATAGTCAATGCCCTGGCCAGTGTGACTCAGTTGGCTGAGCATCACCCCATGCATCAAAAGGTCAACGGTTAGCCCTGGCCGGTTTGGCTCAGCGGTTAGAGCGTCAGCCTGCAGTCCAGAGAGACCCGGGTTCGGTTCCTGCTAGGGGCACGTACCTCGGTTGCAGTTTGTCCCTGGTCCTGGTTGTGTCGTGCGGGTGGCAGCCACTTGATGTGTCCCTTTCACGTCGATGTCTCTCTCTCTCTCTCTTCCTCTCTCCCTCCCACTCTATTTGAATAAAAAATGGAAAAATGTCCTCGGGTGAGGATAAAAAAAAAAAAAAAGAAAATACACCATGACCAAGTGAAATTCATTCATAACGCAAGATTTTCTTGGATGTTGAGAAATTTATTAATATATACTATTATTAAAAAATCAGAAAAACTTTAACAAAATTCAACACCCATTCATGGTAAAACTTTCAAGAATATAAAATATCTTCTTAATATAATAAAGTAAATATTTACTGTAGTCTTTAAGACATTATCTTAATTAATGGAAAAACAAAAAGGGCCTTACCCCTGGAACAAGACAAGAATGCCTATTATCTCTGCCACTATTTATCACTGTACTAGAGGTATTAGCCAATGCAATCAGACAAGCAAAAACAATTAGAGGCATAAGAATTGGTAAACAAGTAAAACTATCTTAATTTGCAGATGACATGATATTATGTCTAGAAAACCCCAGAAAAAACAGTAATAAAACTTAAAAAAAAGTACACAATTCAGTCAAGTAGCAAGTTATAAAATTAAGATACAAAAACCAGTAGCTTTCATACAGAAACTATGAAGAAAAGTCATAATGGTAGAGAAAAATCTCATTTAAATAAAGAACTAAATACTTAGGAAAAAAATTGTTATAAGAAAAACTTTTATAAGGAAAATTTTAAAACATGCCTGACAAACACTAAAGTAGACTTGAACAAATGGAAAGACATCCCCTGTTCTTAGGTAAGACTTAACATTGCAGAGATGTTAGTTCTCCCCAAGTGAACTTGTAAGTTGAAAGTGATGCCAATTAAAATACCAACAACCTAATTTTATGAAGTTGGACAACAGGAAAGTGCACACAGAAAATAAATAAATAAAAGGCAAGAATACCTAGGGAAACACTGAAAAAGAAAAACCATGATGGGGAACCAAGGCATTAAAACTTATTATAAATCCTCTTATAATTTAAACATAGTGGCAAAAGAATAAAGTTCAGAATTAGTCCAAAGACATAAAACTCAGTATATGACAAAGGTGGTATCTCGAAACCTTGGGGTAAAGATGTACTTTCAAAATAAATGATCTGCGTCAATATGGAAAAAATAAAACTCCATCCTACTTCACACAATACATACACATGCACAAAAATCAATTCTAGGTGACTTGTAGATCTAAATATATACAGCCAAACAATAAGACTTATAGAAGAAGATGTAGAGCATCTTCTTGCCTTCAGGGCAGGCAAATATTTTACTCAGGAACAGAAGAGCACTGTCCATAACAATGACATCAAAATTAACTCATGTCATAAAAAAATATCAATTCAAACACTGAAGAGACAAGCCAGAGTAGGAGGAAGTATTTGCAAAACATCCAATCATAGGACTCACATCTGGAATACATAAATCAGTAAGAAATAGGCAGGAAACTTTAGTAGCTTATCCAACTTAATACCTTCTTGGAAAGCAAATTTATTGCATTACCACTTTGAAAAATTGGCATCATTTATGAAAAATGAACATATGCATCCCATATGACCCAGCAATTTCAGTACAGGGTATACACCCAAGAGAAATACATACACTTGTACACTATCAGAAATATTATGCTCATAGCAACATTATTCACAATAGCCCCAAACTGAAAATTCAAATATCTGCCCATCAACACAAACTGCTTAAAATAAATTGTGGAATATTCAAAATAAGGGAACACACAAAATAAAATGTACTAGCTAGAGATACTCAAAACAACATACATTGATTTTACAAAAATATTAGGAAAAATTAAGACACACAAAAGAACCCAAAATATACTGTGTGGTTCCATTTGTATAGGGGTAAGAAACAAAAAATCTAAGCCATGTTATCAGTCAGAATATTGGTCACCTATGGGGAGCAGAGAAGGGTTTGTCATTTGAGTGAGGCAAGAAGGAACATTGATTCTTATTCTTGCCTGATTACATGGATATGGTTCACATGATAATTTAGCTGTTGTATATGTATGAGTTAAGTACTTTTCTGCATTTCAGTAAAACCTGTTTTAAATGTTACCACATATACACAAAATATTAAACACTATAGAAATAACTTTGGCATTATGCCAAAAAACAAAAACAAAAACAAAAAAACCCAGAACATGCAGACCTTAGGACCCAGTAATTTCACATTCCTGGAATAATTCACCAATGCTCCAATGCTCCAGAAGACTTGTACAAAAATTCTTTAATGCCCAGCTGGTGTGGCTCACTGATTGAGCATTGACCCATGCACCAAGATCGCTTGTTCGAATCCTAGTCCGGGCACATGCCTACATTGTGGGCCCAATCCCCATTGGGGGCATGTAGGAGGCGGCCAATTGATGTTCTCTCTCATCAATGTTTCTATCTCTCTCTCCCTCTCCCTTTCTCTCTAAAATCAATAAAAATAAATGTTTAAAATTCTTTAAGCATCATTTTTCATAACTGAGAAAAATGGAAAGTTCATTAACTGTGTATCAGCAGTAGAACTGGTAAACAAGTTGTGGGATAATAATACAAAGAATCAATATCCAAAAGGGAAAATGAAAATATGGCTACAGTCATTAACGTGACTCTCAAACCACTGTCACCACTAATCTGACCACCATTATGTGTAACTTGATTCTGCAGTGGCCTAACAGGTTTCTGTTCATACCTAATCCCTTAATTTAGCCTACCAACTCAGAAGACACTGTGACTCTTTAGTTGTCACTCCTCTGTTCAAAGCCCTCCATATTGGGAACAGAAGGCAAAGTCCTTCCAGATAGCCCAGAGGATGTCCCCATGATCAGGACCCTGATCTAACTCTGATCTCATCTTCAACAACTCAAAAGCTTGATCCACTCCAGTCACACTGGACTTTTTGTCCCAAGCATAAAATGTTTTCATGGCCTTTGAACTGCTGCCGAGGGTGCTCTTCCCCACATTAAATTAAAGCCCACACTTAAAGTTCATTTACATCTCTGCACAAAAGGTTTTCCCTACCCATCCCATAGCTCCACTAAATCCCACTCCTTCTCATCACCATGCTCAATTTTTCCCCCATTGCACTGACCACCATCAGATACAACATATTTACTCATTCATCAGGTGCCACAACCCCAAGTAAAATGTAAACATGAAGGCAAATATCCTGATTCACTCTACACATGGGGCATAGAACAAAGCCTGACATAAAGGAAATAGACTCCAGAACCACACACTAGGGTTTAAATTCAAGCACTACTTGCTAACAGGCTGGCCTCAGACAAGTAACCTAAACTTTGTTGCTTCAGATTCTCCACATGCAAAAGAAACTGATGGCACCTGCTTCTCAACACTTTTGAAAAAACATGTCAGTAGTAGAACGATCCACCCTTTTTACTTTTGCAAAGGGTGAACAGAAAGCTATATTTCTCTAGTACATTTACAAGAGTTTTCTTCACTTTAAGAAGAAACTGAATAAAGTAGATGTCCACTCGACCCTTCGGTGAAAACTAATAGTTCTTCAATAAAAGAAGTCAGGAAAAGAAATGTTTATGTAAGTCAAAGATATGATATGCAATTTTAAAACTTGAAGAATTTAAAACTCCATATCCAACAATTAAACATTTCCCCCACACCTGTACCAGTTGTAACAAAAAATCACTAACGACCAGGTGAATGGGTTAGAGAGCATCCAGCCAGATGAGACAGAACCCTCCCCTCCACCAAAAAAACCAAACCAAATAAAAACACAAAAAAAGTAACTACTAAATAGAAGAAAAAGAAAAAAAAGAAATATCCAAAGCAGCTTAAACCAATAGAGTTTTATTTTTCATGTAATAGGAAATCTGGAAATAACAAATTCAGGGCTAGACTAGACACTCAAAGAAGCCACTAGGGAGGCCAGAATCATTTGTGAATTTTCTGCAGGATCCTCCTTAACTTGTGCCTTGTATCCACATGGTCACTAGATGGATTTTTAACACTAGGTACTGCATCTCCTTGCTAGGTGAAGTCAGTGGAAGAACAAAAACAAAACATGTGGAGAAGAATCCCGATAAGAATGGCCCTTTTTTCAAGACTTTTTGGAGCCCATACAGTAACATCTGCTTATTTGTTAATGGCCAGGCTGTGGAACATAGACTACTAGTTGTGAGAAACTTTATAAGAGATTTTAAAAGTAGTACACCTTACTAATCTGACAAAAATTGGGTTTTCTTTACATGGAAGATGAGATACCAGGGAAGCAACTAGAAGTATGTCCCACTGTTGGCTGGAACATTCCAAAAGACACATCTGATGAAAACATCATGGTCTGATCACAATGCATTTGATTTAGATACTCGTACCAAACAGACACTAAAAATATCCATGTTACACAGTATATAAGATTCTATAGTCTATTGGTCAAGTAAGTTATCCACAGGAAATGAACACATTATTAAGACTGAAATTATAATAAAAATACTACATACAAAGCTTCTGTGATCTGCTACAAGGGTAATTTAGAGCATAAACTTAAAAACAAAGGCTAAAATTAAAATTTATGAACAAGGGTGTTTTCATGATGAAAGACATCAAATACAATTTCACATTCACTAGAAAATTCCTTTGGGGTGTGAATGAATTCCCATAAGCACAAGTGATGGGGCTGTGGCTGAAATCATCTCCACATTGTGATTGTCTGCAGTGTGGGTTCTCATGTGTTTCCTGAAAGAATTACATTGATTATATTTTTGAAGTTTTAAATAGAAATTCTCCTATTATGAGTACTCAATTTTCATAAAAATTGAGGAGCTATTCTAGGACAAGATTTCTCAGCCTGGGCTATATTAATGTAAGTCTTTGTTCTGGGAGGCTCCTCTGCATTGTAGGCTATTTAGCAGCATCCTTGATGTCTTCCAACTACATGTTGGTAACACCTTCTCCAGTTTTAACCATCAAAGATGTCTCCAGAAATTAACAAATGTCTCCTGGGGAGCAAAACCACCAAATTAAGAATCACTCACTGCTCTGTAACAGGGGTTGGCAAATTTTTTCTGTGAAGGTCCAGAGAGCGAGTATTTTAGACTTTTTGGGCCACACAGTCTGTCACATATTTTTATTTCTTAAAAATGCAAATTGTTCTTGTCTTGAGAACTGTACAAAAACAGACAGCTGGCTGTACTTTGCTGACCCATTACTGACTTTCCCATGCTTCTCTTTTGTGTTATTCCTCTCATGAGGAATACAATGAGACCAAGAATGTCTGCCAGTTGTTGGATTTATAGATTCTCCCTAGTGTGCCTACTTGTGTGCCAGGTGGTGCTCTAGCCATTTCAACATTAAATACCAGGCTAGGATTTCTTTTCCTAAGTTGTCATGTTTGTTAAAAGCTAAATGTACAGTGATGGCTTCTCCATACCACAGACATACATTTTCTCCCCAGCATTAATTCTCAAAAATCTTCAAAGTGACGAGGTAAAAACTCAAGTCTTTCCAGTCATTACACAAACTATTTCTTCCAAGTTACATATATTTCTTTGTGCTTAGTGAGAGTACATAAAGGATTTCATGCCTTCCTGACACTTCTATAAGATTTCCTTCCAGTCTGAGCTGTTACTTTCTTCTTTAATCCTCACCCGAGGACGCTTTTGCATTTATCTTCAGACAGAGTGGGAGGGAGAGAGGAGGGGAAAGAAAAAAATATCAACCAGAGAGAGAGAAACATCAACGTGAGAGAGACACATCAACTAGCTGCCACCCACATGACCCCAACCGGGTGGAGGACAAACTGCAACCGAGGTACGCGCCCTAAGCAGGAACCGAACCAGGGACTCCCTGGTCTGCAGGCCAACGCTCTAACTGCTGAGCCAAACCAGCCAGGGCTCTCATGTTTTTTAAAGGTGTGTCACTGGAGCCTCTTCCAGACTGATGACACTAAAAGTTTCTCTCCTCGGTGAGTTTTAACATGACTCCGAAGAGATGAATGGTCACTGAAGGCTTTCCCACAAGCCAAGCATTCATAGGGCTTCTCCCCAGTATGTATTCTCCTGTGAACATTAAGGTTTGAGCCTATGCTGAAGGCTTTCCCACAGTGATCACATTCATAAGGCTTCTCCCCTGTGTGACTTCTCATGTGTGTCTTAAGAGTTGACTGGTTTCTGAAGGCTTTCCCACACTGCCTACATTCAACACGTTTCTTTACAAGATGAATGCTCATGTGCCTCCTCCGGGATAAATAATCACCAAAGACTTTCCCACAGGCAGCACACTCATAGCGTCTCTCTTGTGTATGTATTTTCCTGTGTGCAGTCAGGTTTGAGCTCGCACTAAAGGCTTTCCCACATAGATCGCACCCATATGGTTTCTCTCCAGTGTGAGAATTCATGTGTGTCTTAAGGATGGACTGGTTTCTGAATGCTTTCCCACACTGCCTACATTCAACAGGTTTCTTTACAATATGAATTCGCATGTGTTTTCTCCGTGATAAGAGATCACCAAACGATTTCCCACATTCTTTACATTCATATGTTTTCTCTACCATGTGGTTCTTCTTGTGCAAATTAAAGTTAGACTTCCATCGAAAGGCTTTTCCACACTGTGTGCATTCATAGGGTTTCTCTCCCGTGTGATTCCTGACATGCTCTTTGAGATGTGAGGGATGCTGGAAAGCTTTCCCACAGTCTTGACATTCATAGGGTCTCTCTCCAGTGTGTGTTCTTTTGTGTGCAATGAGGTGGCAGCTCCTGCCATATGCCTTCCCACATTCATCACACTTGTAAGGTCTCTCCCCAGTGTGAACTCTCATGTGTATCTTCAGGGAGGAGAGGGTTCGAAATGCATTTCCACACTGACTGCAGTCAAAGGGCTTCTCTGTGAGATGAGTTCTTGCATGACTCCTAAGGGCTGAGGGATCATTGAAAGCTTTCCCACAGACATTGCATTCATAGGGTTTCTCCCCAGTGTGTATTCTCCTGTGCCGTGTAAGGGAAGCACTTGTGGTAAAGGCTTTTTGGCACTGATGACATTCATGCATTTTTCTCCCATTGTAAATGATCACATGTTGGGTTAGATGTGGCCTATTCTTGAAAACTACCCCATAGTCCCGCTGGTGACAGGGCCTCTTGCCAGTGTGCCTTCCCATTTGCTGAGTAAGATGAGCACCCATGCTGAAGACTTCAAACAGTTGAGCATATTCAGTGGATTTTTCTCCAACATGGGTTTTTTCCTGTTGATTAAAAGATAAGTGCTGACTAAAGCATTTCCAAATATTCATTACATTCCTAAGAATTATCCCCATATAAACTGACATATATTGAAGCACATCATTATGACTAATGATGTCATAATTTACAGTGCAAAAGTATTGCTCGTGCCCGCTTTGGGCTCTATCAAAAGAAACAGGTGAATGCTATGTATGCCCTAAAGTTCCATGTAACTGTTACAAGCATTATGCAAAATCTACTTTGTTAACTGTTTAAATCTGAATTGAGCCCTAACACTCAATATCTGAGACACAGTTATAGAACTATTTACTCATCAGAACTCTAAGTGGAAAAGTTTTGGGTTAGTAATTAGTAACATTAGTGTCTCTGACACTGCTTCCTCTTGGGGAATGCCACCTGCCTAGTTCTGAGCTCCTTTTCCAACTTACGCTGCCCCAGTGGTCTCCTAATACAGAAGATCCAGAATCATCTCCAGGAAATCTTACCATTGTCAGACGACTGGATGTTTCCTTCCCAAAAATATCTTCCATGAGTATGGACCATTTGGTCTTAGATGGAATCTCCCAATCTGAAACAAATTGGAAAAAGATAAACTTGTTGGCAAAAGAAACGGTGGAATGCCAATAACAAAAATAGACAATTTTTCTTTTTCTTTTTTTTCAAATACTAACCCTAAAAAAGGTAAATTGAGGTAAGAAGGAAGAATGCATGAGTAAAAACGACTGAAAAATTTGGCTGAGTGGTACTTGGCAATGACAGGGGTAGACATTTATGTCAGCACACTAAGAAGGAATTCTTCAAAGACCAACATCAATAATGACAGGAGTATGATCAGTTAAGTTGAATTTGAAAGGGGAGAAGAAAGAGTCCATGTGGACATGTCAAATTTAAAGAGGAAAGGACAGTGAAACCAAAGAATTTGTGAGAGAATGGAAGAGCAGTAAAAAAAATAAGCATTTTCAAATTCCCCTGGGTGACATTTCCTAATGGATCTGCCTCCCCTCTAATCATGGGATACAGACAATACTCAGAAGCACTTGTGTTTGCCTGGTGCTTACCGGTACATGTGCCTTGGGGAAGTACCCCCTCCTCTGTTCTCAGCTCCTCTTCTTGTTCCAAGTGGGAGATGAGGCTGGGTTTCCTCACCTGACACCCTACTCACGGGGAAAGATACATGTTGAGGGAGGATCGTGCAGAGGACACGTGTTCTGAAGTCAGAGTTCTGAAGATGGACAAGACTGACTTAGGAGCAGCAAAATGATGGTGACAAATTTCTAAGGGACACAGTGAAAGGCTATCATAAAAAACAAATACCCACATGTTTTGCTCTTCAAAAGATTGCTTAACTCAGAAGTTAAGGATTTAATTCAGAAACCTATGCTCAAGTTCAGACACACTTGACAACCTCTAAGGTCAATGCAATAAACAGGCTTCAATATCCATGGGGAGACACCAGGAGGGCAGGCACCAGGTCACAACTGTGTTCCAAATCCCCACCCAGCTCCTAGTTCACAGCAAGTACTTAAATAAAAAAATATTTTATTCATAAATGAAAAAATAATGCCAGTCTTACCCACTGAGGCTAGGTTAGTATAGTTTTCCAGCATCACATCTTTGTACAGTTTTCTCTGAGAAGAATCCAGCAAGGGCCACTCCTTCTCAGTAAAGTCCACTGCAACATCCTGGAAAGTCACTGAGTCCTGAAACACCACACACATGTGGGGTTGGTGAGAAACCAACCTGTGCTCAAAGATGGCAGAGGCTGAAGACGACATGAGAGTCGAATCACAGGATTTACACTATGGAGTTCTAATGTCTCAACATTTACTCCAGCAACCAGTCAGCAGTTGTCTTCTCTTCCCTATGAGGTGATCTCATCCCGTCTCACTGCTTCAAATGCAACTCTAATACGGGACCAAAATCTCTCTCCACTTTTAGCCTGATCCGAGCACCCTGAATCATATTATGAGGGAAACATTTGGTATGTAATCAATTTTCCCTAACAACCCTGATACCAGGACAGCCTCGCAATATTCTCTGGCTTTTTCTTAATCCCTGACCAGGCATCAATTAGCCAGAATGAAGGTCTAAGAGAATTTTACCATGTGATATTGGGGGTGTTCTAGGAAGTACTTCTCCCACCCTGAAGGGCCAAAATTTTGGTGTACCTGGGAACCAACATTAGTTGGCATATGAGGCTCCAAACCATTATACGCAAACAGGTCCACATCCTGATGACAAGAATGGTCTTTTGAAGCAAGAGGAATTTCTGACTCCTGGATGTGGAGACGGTCCTCGGTGGATATAGCTAGAGAAGACAGGATCCATGAGAATTAAAACTTGACTGACATGCACAGACCACTAAACTACATGTGCGCAGTACACATCTCCAAACAACACACACACACACACACACACACACACACACACACACACATGGTTTGGTAAGAATCCACAGCAGCCCTGCTTTTCTAAAGGACAAGAAAAAGGAAGGTGGACCAATATACCCATAATGAAACTGACATGTTTTCAATTTGTGAAGAAATTAAAACTCTAAGAGGTAGAGCTTTTACTTTGCTATTTATCAAAAAAATAACAAATGGGATACTTCAGGGTTACCCATACTTGTGTTCTTCCTTTTATACCAACTATACACACTCTGTCCCTCACCCAAACTCACAAAGACCCTGCCTGAATCAGACACAGCCACCTGGGGGGCCTCCCAGGACTTTGCTCCCACTGCTTTCCAGTTCATTCATCCTCCTCTAGTAGCCCTCTCTGTCCTTGCGCACCCCTGACCTTGGTAATTTGCAGTGGCCACTTAAGCTTGCTTTCTGAGGGCATTCTTCACCCCAAGAACTTACCACATGTGGAGGAGAGATCAACAGCTGCCATCCTGTGAGAATGATAATAAATTTGCCTGAACAACAGGGCACTGGCATCAGAAAGCTACTCTCTTGCTCTCCTGGGACTCTTTCGAGCAGGCATCTGTAGTAAATGAGAAAAAGATTACTAGAAGACAAGACTTTCTATCTCTCCTGCTCACAGGGCAATTCTGACTTTTGCTCTCCAGTATTTTCTCTTTTGAGCATTAAGTTCTGCCTGATCCCAAGCCTTTACCTTACTTGGGCAAAACCTCCAGACAATGTGGTGGAGAACCCTGATTCAGAGTCATTCCCCAAGTAATGTGTCATCAAGTACTACTCTGTTAAATCTCACTCATTAAACACTTGGGCCCCAGACTTCTTTTCTTTAACTTTAATACTTGCCATGGTTTAGAATTGTTCTAGTATCCATGAGGATGGTCCATCTAGCATTACACGTTCCAAACTCCAACACTATTTGGCCCCAAACTCCACACCAACATACACAACTGTGGGCCAATGCACAGTCCTTGTCTTTTCTAGTTACCAACTTTACCTTATACACAATGATTTAGAAATCTGGTCTCTGGACAAAACTTCTACAACATTTCTCTTGCATAAACTCTTTCACTTTAGAGAGGATTCCAGGCCACTCATGCTTCTATCATCTTGCTCCCTAACAGTAAATTCCTCTTGTCACTGCTCCACCTATCAAGCCAAGATTCATCATAATCAATCACTTCTACAATTTATTTGTCCAAATTCCTCTGTTCATTATAAGCGCAAATGAGCAAAAGCCTAGCCCTGGAAGATTCCAACCATCTGCCTCCTCCCTGAAGATAGTTGGGAAGACCAGTATGCACAAACCAGTTACCTTCAAAACTCAAAACTGCTAACCCCAAAGAAGTATCTACACTAAAGAAGAGCATACTAGGCAATCCAATCTTCCAATCTCCCAATAACCAGATCAAAATTTCAACACTTTTTCTGACTAAGAAACTGTCTTACCATTACCTTTACAGCAAATCTCATATTCCCTTCATAGTAAGCACAACCAGAAAAATGTTATCTCAAAAGAACTGGAAAGTGAACCAAAAAACAATTTCATATATGATAGCAAAAATATATAAAATATCTAGGAATAAATCAAAAGCTGTATAAGACTTTTACAATAAAAATTAAAACAATGCTGAAAGAAGTTAGAGACCTAAGTAAGTGGAGAGCAATATCATTTTCATGGACTACAAGAGTCATTATTAAAGTATTCATGCTGTCCAAATTCATTTGCAGATACAATACATTCCCTAGCAAAATCCCAGCATGCTTTTTTCTATAAATTGACAAGCCAAATCTAAAATGTGTATCAAGATGCAAAGAATCTAGAAGGACCAGAACAATGGTAAAATCAAACTTGGATGATTCATACTACAAACTTCAATACAGTAATTAAGAGTTACTGGAATAGATCAGCCGTTCTCAACCTGTGCGTCGAGACACCTTTGGGTGTCGAATGTCTTTCACAGCAGTCTCCTAAGTCCATCGGAAAACACATATTTCTGATGGCGATTCACAACAGTAGCAAAATTACAGTTATGAAGTAGCAACAAAAATAATTTATGGTTGGAGATCACCACAACATGAAGAACTGTATTAAAAGGTTGCGGCATTATGAAGGTTGAAAACCACTGGTATAGACGAATAGGTCTATGGGACAGCAGAGAGTTAGAAACAGAAGTACAAGTGTGGAGTCAAATAATTTTCAATAAGGGGACACAGCAATTCCACAGGCAAAGCAGTGTTTTTAAAAAATTTATTTTAAAATTATAGTTGGCACGCAATACATTAGTTTCAGGGGTACAACACTGTGATCAGACATTTATATAACTTATGAAGTGATCACCATTATAAGTCGAGTACCCATCTGACACCAAACATAGTTATCACAATATTATTGACTTTACAAAACAAAAAGAGATAGCAGTCCTTTTAAAAATTAATGGTATTAAAAAACTCAATGGGAAAAAAAAAACTTTGACTTCTATTATCATTGCATACACAAAAATTTGAATTTAAATATCTGTTTCAGCCCTGGCTGATTTGGCTCAGTGGTTAGAGTGTCCGCCTGTGGTCCAGAGAGACCCGGGTTCAGTTCCCGCTAAGGGCAAGTACCTCGGTTGCGGTTTGTCCCCAGCCCTGGTTGGTTGTTCGGGTGGCAGCCACTTGATGTGTCCCTTTCACGTCAATGTTTATCTCTCTCTCAATCTCCTTCTCTCTTTAAAATCAATAAAGGAAAAAAAAAAAGTGTTGTCTTAATCTGTTTAGATCTTTAAAAAAATCTGTTTGAGATTAATTGTACACCAGAAAGTAAAATCCAGAGACTATTTTAATGACCCTGAGTTATAGAACAATATTTTAAACTAGACACACATAAAACTAAACCAAAAGAAATCAACGAGTTGAACTTCACCACAATTAAACATTTTAAATCATCAAATAACATCATTAAGAAAAATAGGCTGGCATAAAAACAGACACATAGAACAATGAAACAGAAATGAGAGCTCAGAAATAAATCCACACATATGTGCTCAACTAACTTACAACAAAGGAGCCAAGAATATACTATGGGTAAAGGACAGTCACTAAATGGTACTGGGTAAACTGGGCAGCCACATGCAAAAGAACGAAACTGGACCACTATCTTATACTACACAAAAATTAACTCAAAATAGACTAAACATCTGAATGTAAGACCTGAAACCATGAAAGTCCCAGAAGAAAACAGGCAGTAAAGTAAGGTCCTTGACAAAAGTCTTGGCGATGATTTTTTTGGATTTAGAAAACAAAAGCAACTATGAACAAGTGGGACTATTATCAAACTAAAAACTTTGCCCTGGCCAGATGGTTTAGTTGGCTGGAGTGTAGTCCCATATACCAAAAGGCTGTGGATTCGATTCCCAGTCAGGGTGCCTATGGGAGGCAACTGATCAATGTTTCTCTCTCACATGGATGTTTCTCTCTCTCTCATTTCCTCTCTAAAAACATATCATCATGAGAGGATTTTTTTAAAAAACCCAAACTAAAAAGCTTCTACATAGCAAGAGAAACCATCAAGAAAATGAAAAGGCAACCTACTGAATGGGAGAAAAAATGTGCAAGTCATATATCTGACAAGGGGTTAATATCCAAAACATGTAAAGAACTCATACAATTCAATAGCAAAAAAACAAACAATCCAAATAAAAACTAGGCAGAGGACCTTTCAGACATTTTCCCAACGACATACAAATGGCCAGAAGGCACATGAAAAGATACTCAATATCATTATTTATCAGGAAAATGCTAATCAAAACCATGACATATCACCTTACACCTATTAGAATGGCTATTATAAGACAAGAGATAACAAGTGTTGCCCAGGATATGGGGAAAAGGGACCCTTGAGTACTGTTGGTAAAAATGTAAATTAGTATAGCCATTGCAGAGAGCAGTATGGAGTTTCCTCAAAAATTAAAAATAGAACTACCATGAGATCCAGAAATTGCACTTCTGGGTATTTATCTGAAAATGAAAACATTAATTTAAAAAGCTATTTCTACCTCCATGTTCACAGCATTATTTACAATAGCCATGGCATGGAAACAACCTGAATATCCATTTATATCAGATATTAAAAAATCTTGCCTTTTGTGACATCCATGGACCTTGAGGGCATTATGCTAAGTGAAATAAGTCAGACAGAAAACGTTCTCATAAAAAAGAGCAAAGCAAGTCCAACCGGTGTGGCTCAGTGGTTGAGCATCAACCCTGCACCAAGAGATTGCAGGTTTGATTGCTGGTCAGGACACATGCCCAGTGGGGGACATGCAGGAGGCGGCCAGTCGATGTCCTCTCTCATAAATGTTTCTAGTTCTCTCTCCTTCTCCCTTCCTCTCTCTCTAAAATCAATAAAGGAAAAAAAAACACAAAAAAACAAAAACCAAGGTCACAGATATCAAAAACAGACTGGTGGTTGCCTGAGGCAGTGGTGGGTGAAACTGGTAAAGGAAGTCAAAAAGTATGTTTCTAGTTATGAAATAAGTCATAGGGGTGTAAGGTATAGTACAGTGACTATAGTTAATTATACTGTGTGGCATTCTTGGAAATAGATAGGAAAAAACTTTTGTAACTGTGTGTGGTGATGGGTTAACTGCACTTATCGTGGTGATCATTTTTCAATAATATATAAAAATATTGAATAATTTTGTTGGATAATTGAAACTGATATAATGTTATGTCAGTTATACCTCAATTAAAAAAATAGGTAAGACTGGGATAAAAATATTTGTAGTATATATATCTGACAAAAAATTCATATTCAGATTAAAGCACTCCTACAAAACAATACAAAAGTACCAAAAAAGACTAGAATTAAGACATCTGACAAACAATGACAAATATAAGCATGGCAAAAGGTACTCAACATCATTAGTTATCAGATAAGTGCAAATTAAACCTAATGATATAACTTTTCAATACATTAGAGAGACCAAGATAAAAAAGATCAGCATTAAATGTTCACAATATTGGCATACTCTCAACTCTCATGTACTACTGATGGTGGAAATGTGAAATGGTTCAAACATTTTGGAAAATAATTTGCCAGTTTATTAAATAGTACACCTATCAACTGATGAAGCAATTCCACATCTGGATATTTACCCAAGAGATATAACAACCTGATTCATAATAGTTTAAAAGTGTAAGCAATCTGAATGTCCATCAACGATGGATAAACAAACTGTGATACGTACAATGAAATACTACTCAGCAATACAAAGAAACTACTGAGACACACAACATGGCTGAATCTCTGTATGCTGACCAACAGAAGGGAGACACAAGAAAGTCCCTGATTCCAATTACATGATGTCCACAAATAGGCAAAACTTATTTAAGTCAACAGTAAAAAAAGTGGTTGCCTTGATGGTGGTGAAGCATGAGACAGAGGCAACAGATGGATGGATGCTTCTCTCTTACATTGATGTTTCTCTCTATCCTTTACCCTTCCTCTCTCTTAATAAAAGTAGGAAATAACCAATGAATGCATAAATAAGTGGAACAACAAATCAATCTCTCTCCCCCCTTCCTCTCTCTAAAATCAATAATAAAAAATTTAAAAAGCCTCCAGCAAGCATTAAAGTTAATTCCCCTTAAAGTCAAAAAAGAAAATAGGACTGCCTCCTATCCAAATTCCATTCAGTGCTATCAGAAGTACCAAGCTATTCCAGCAAAGAAAGTAAATCATGTACTAAGCAAAAAATATTTATAAACATTTATTCATTTATAGACAAAATTGTCTATGAAAAATATCTAAAACACTACATAAAAATTACGAGAATTATATACTTTAGTAACCTTGCAGAACTGAAGTTCAATATACAAAGCTATTGGGAAAAAATGTAATTTCAAAGCGCATGGGTGTTCCCAGGAATGAATCTAACCACAAAATCCAACAACTCTCAAATCCTTTTTGTTGGTACTCATAAAACCTTACTGAAAGGCATTATAGAATATGTAAATCAATATAAATCTAATTATAAGATTAAATGGCATAATAATGACAATATTCTAAAAATTAATATTCAACACAACCTGAAAAACAAAACTGCAGTAGGTAGAACTCTGTAAACTGACTCCAAAATTTAGTAAGGCTAGAACGTTATCATAAGCCAAAATTATGGGTTCCATCACCAGTCAGGGAACATACAAGAAACCACCAATGAATGCATAAATAAGTGGAACAACAAATCTCTCTCTCTTCCTCTCCAAAAATCAATAAAGAAAAATTTTTTTTGAAGACATAAAATTTAAGACACGAGGTACCTGAAAAATGGGTACGTGTACAAACTTCATCTACAAGATACTTAGAAATCTCTAAATTAGAATGTGCAATTGCATCAATATGAAAAAAAGGATGTGTCCAAAAATACTTTAGAGTGTAAGTCCATTCACAAATAATTACTAAAATTAGGAAATACATTTTTGGGAAAAACAAGGAAACAGTAAAATCCATAAAGAAAATTTTGGAAGAAGAGGAGTATGCAGTTTAGGAGCACACAGGTTTCTGCTGTTTCATAATCTTTTCTTGGTTTGATATGTGGATTTGCTTTATTGTTGGCCTTTTGTGTGTTACATGTTTGCATACCTCCTTTTTTTTTTTTGCACATACGTCCTATAGGAGGATAAATAAAAACCAAATAAGATGATAAAAAGCATTGCAAAATGTTAGTGATCACAATAACTATTAATGGACTAACTCTCAAGTTAAATAACAATGTTGAACTAAATTTTTAAATCTAGACTATTTACATAAGAGTCAACTAAAGTTAATAAAATAAAAATGGACAAGAGCACCAAGTTTGAGTATTACAGGCATTCAAGGCCAATGCTGTCCAAAAGAAAACCAGTGCGCCTGTATTGACATTAAACAAAACGGATTACAAAGGAAATTGACCACGAAAAGCAAAAAGAAGGTAATTTATCTTCACTGCTCCATCCCCAAAATGTTCCCAACGCTCTCGGCCGGGCTTTTCCGGCTCCACTCAAAGGTGTCAGAGTGAGTGTGAGTGTTTATTGGACCACCAGTCCCTAAATATGGTCCTAAATTTCACTGCTCGCGTTTCATACCCTGATCACTGGGTCTAAAGCACACTCCTTGCCTGGGTGCCTAGCTTCCCAGTCCCAGGTGCCCGGTCCTGGTCCCCCCCCCCCCCCCCAACTCCTCCTTGCCTCTGGGCCTCTCACGTCCTCAGGAAGGCCGAGAGTAAAGGGTTAAATGAGGAAAGCAAGGCTTACGCAACAGAGGGTAAAATCAAAATCGGGGTGGAGCGGAGGTCACGAGAGCGGCCGTCGAAGCGTCCAGAAGTTCAAACGGAAGGTGCAGTCTACCGCAGGGAGGCGGAGGGTCTACCGCAGTTTCATCCAACTGCTGGGATGAAACTGCAGGGTAGCTCTCCACAGCCCATGTGTTTAGCGGCAATAGCTTCCCAAGAATAATGGCTTCCGCTTCACTTCCGCCTTCTAAATCTCTCGGGACTTAATTGGAGGCTCTAACCCGGAAACAGATGGCGCAGAGGATTCTGGGAAACGTAGTTCTTGAGTTTAGGCGGTCATGAAGAGGATGCCCAGATGGGTTTTGATAGTTGAGTACACATCCCCAATGTATAATTGTTTCAGTGCCTTGGGACTCAGTTTCCAGGCTTCTTATAATCATTGTCTCTGTAATCTGCAATGAATCTCACCTCTTTAAGTACTGTTTATACCCTCAAGACTCAAATGTCCACCTGCAGCCCCACACCTTTAACCTGAATTCCAGACAGAATGAGACATTCTTCACTTGGATATTTTATAGACATTTTGATGACACACATTAAACTCCAGACTCCACCTTCTCAATCTCATATAATAGGAACTTTACCTTTCCATTTGTAAACTTTGGGAGCACCACTGATCCTTTTGTTGGTCCCATTGATCCATCAGAGAATGTTTACTTCCACCCGACTGGTAACCCAGAAGCTGATCACTTTGCCAGAAATATTTCCTATGCACTTGTGTCAACGCAAGAGAGGTCATGGCTGTTAGATAGCCGAGGGAGGAATACTGGAGGCCAAAGTGATACAGCAACAGAATTTTATTCAGAGCATCTGCAAAGCAGAGTGCAAAATGGCATCAGCCCCGAAATGGCAGGGGCCTGCTATTTATATGGAGTTTTTTTTGGCGGGCTCTTTAAGCAGGCTTCTCTGGGCAGATACAGGAACAAGGACCCTGCAAACGCAGTATCAGTTGCTCAACCGTGACTGAAAAGGGTCTGGTTCCCATACTAGTGGGGGATGTGTGATGAGGTAACATGAACACAATGAAAGGCCATATCTACAGAGGCAATCCTATAGTGTGGTGCTCTTTGGCCTAACAAAGGTCAGACTCAGAAAAGTCGGGGTTAGCGTTTTGTGGTCCTCATTTATAACACCTGAGCTAGAAATTTAGGAGGCACAGCTTCCAGGTAAGGGTGTTTATCTGGGTGGCGTTATGGAGCACAAAGAGAAGTCCAACACAAGTTCTAACCCTAGATCCACCAAGACAGACATCTTGAGTAAATTTTGCACAGCCTCTTTCTCCTTTTGTATAAAAGGGCCACATCCTAAAGTTGTTGCAAGATTCAAATGAGGAACTCAAGTAACTCTGATTACTGCTCCTCAGGGACAAGGAGTTGGCAGAACAAGCTATCAATGTAGGAAACATTCAAACATGTGAAGAATTTTTGTGAGTTTATTGGAGCCAAACTATCGTCAATTGTCAGGAAGCAAAATCTCAATGGATTGAGATAATGCTCTGGAGAATGGCAGTTTTGCACCTTATTTTATACATTACAATAAAAAAAGGAGCCTGAAATCCTACTCTTAACTTTGAAGGGTTAAGCATGTAATATTTTTTCCCTTTCATCATTCCATCAGTTAATCCTTCTTATGATGAGCTCACTGGCATTCAGCATTGAAAAGACAAGCTCTGATCTGACCCACCATTGTTTACTAATTTTAACTACCTGATTTCCCCAGGTCCTGCCTGAATCTTGATGAATCTTTTTCCTTTCTTCCTCCTCTGTCCCAGCTCCAGACCTTGAAGATATAATCCCTTACCTCTTTTGGAGTTTCCAGGCCTAACACTGTGGCACCTCCTGCCCCAGGTCTTTCCACCTTTGCTTACCTCTCAATTGTGTTTTGTGGAAGAAAAGGTATCACATACTAAACCTGACCAGCTCAGAGGAGGCCTGTGTGGCATCCTTACAAACTCATAGACCTAAAATAACCACAAAGGATGGACTGAAATGAAAACATTTTAACTAAAAGCAATTTGTGGTGGCTAGTCATGTCCTAGGTCAGCATCTTCCCCCACAAAGGTCAATCTTTACCTTAACCTAGCCTGTCTATTGTCTTTTTGCATCTACAATAAAATATCTTTGGAATATCAAAGTAATTTTTCTGGACTCCTCAAAGCACAGACAGGCTTCTGCGGACCACAAATCCCCTCACAGAGAAACATTGACGTGAAAGGGACACAGCAAGTCGCTGCCACCAGCACGACCCAACCAGGGCCGGGGACAAACTGCAAACGAGGTACATGCCTTTAGCGGGAACCAAACCCGGATCTCTCTGGACTTCAGGCCAATGCTGTAACCACTGACCACACAGACCAGGGCCCCTCATTGTTTTTAATTGTTGACTGTTAACTCTCCTATACCCACCTGGGTAAAAGAAATACGTGTCTATCATTTTACTTGTTATCCAATCAGAGGGTACCCCCCCACACTTTGCTTTTCCCTGCCTCCCTAATCTACATAGAAAAATCATCCCAGAATAATGACAGAACTAAAAATAAAAATTAGAGACACAAACTTGGCTTCATGGTTTTGGAGTAGGCAGAGATTTCTTAAACAGGAGGTAAACAGGAAGCAAGATTGATAAACTGGAATACATTAAAATTAAAAACTGCTCATTAAAAGACATCATTGATAGTGAGTGAAAAAGCAACTATGAAGCTGAAAAAAAAACCGCATTATCTAAAAACTAATTTATATTCAGAGTATGTAAGGAACTTTTATAAATCAATAAGAAAAAGAACTCAGTTTAAAAAAAAAATTTGGATACATCACAAAACCTGATATCCAAATGGCCAATAAACATATGAAAAGGTTCTCAACTTCAAATGGGGAAATGCAAATTAAGTGCTCATTTAAACCACAATGAGAGACCACTATTTACCCAAAAGAATGGCTGCAATGAAAAAGACTAAGAATGTCAAGTGTTAGTGAGGATATGGAGGAGGCAGAACTCACAGATTGCTGGTAATTTGTTAGAATTGAAAAAAATGACAGAATCTACTACCACTGCCCATATGTATATCCTGGGTAGTAACTATAGAGGCATGTGACTCTAAAAATAAAATGTCAAAGTGAGAGGCAACAAGTGTTTATTTGAGATCACAGAATTGCAAATTCCAGGGCCCAGATTCAAGCAGAAATCTAAATGGTGTCCAGATTTCAGGGTGAATGCAAGGGGATTTTATGAAGAAAGGAACAAAATATTTCCACTGGTGCTAGCAAGCTAAGTTACTCTTCAGCTATACGTGGCTGGTTACTGATTCTAAAGAATGTCTGTACTCATCATTCCTTGTGGTCAAGATGTCTGTTCTTCTGTTAGAATCAGAAACAGTTGTTTGGAAGACAATGTTTCTATGGTCTGGTTCAAAAGTTATTTTGCCCAGCCCTGGTTGGTGTAGCTTAGTGGGTTGGGTGTCATCTGATGTACCAGGAGGTTGCCAATTTAATTACCAGTTAAAGGCACATGCTGGGGTTTCAGGGCTTGATCCTCTGTAGGGGGCATGCAGGAGACAACCCATTTACATTGTGCTCTCACTTCTCTCTCCCCCTCCCTTCCTTATTCTCTAAAAATCAATAAACTATTCTTTTTAAAAAAGTTATTTTGCCCAGTTCCAGGAATAAGACATACAGGGCAGTTTCTCTGGAATGGCTGCTCAGGCTCCACTTTAAAATGGCTCCATTTGTATCACCTTTTCACAGGCCTGTGCCCTTTTTATGATTTGTGCATAAGTGTTTTCACTTTAAAAATATGTGTTGGCCCTGGCTGGTTTGGCTCAGCAGTTAAGAGCATCGGCCTGTGGTCTGGAGAGTCCTGGGTTCAGTTCCCGCTAAGGGCATGTACCGCAGTTGCAGTTTGTTCCCGTCCCTGGTTGGGTGGTGTGGGTGGCAACCACTCAATGTGTCCCTTTCATGTCGATGTTTCTCTCTCTCTCTCCCCTCCTACTCCATCTGAACAAAATATTGAAAAGTGTCCTCAGGTGAGGATAAAAAAAAAAAATTATGTTGACTTTCTGTATGTTTGTAATAATTAAACCAATATTTTTTTATTTTTAAATTACAGTTGAATGTAATATTATTTTACATTAGTATCAGGTATACAGCATAGTGGTTATGTTGACTGTGGCAGAAATGGCAGGCACCAAGTTAGACAGGAGGGGTCTGACTGGGCCTTGGATCAGCAAGCTCAGTACTTGAGTTCTGGCTAGGAAAGAATTCAGAACCAAGACTTGAACTATAAGAGAACATTTATTTGGTAAATTACACAAGTGGAAGAAGTGAGTGATAGAATAAATGGGTTGCAGAGGCAAAAGAATGGCCCTTGGACCTTGGAAATGAGGAAGGGAAAGGTTGGGCGCCTGGGGGAAAGGGCAGGGAGGGACGGGGAAGGAGGAGGGGAGAAACATGGCTGTGCTCCTGGAAGGGAGAACAAGATCACTCAGCGTCTTGTCCTAAGTGTTTTAAGGGTAGAGATTTTAGGGGAGGTCCCAGGGGAAGGTCTCAATAGAATATTTCCAGGTGTGTCCTTTCAGGGTCAGGGTCTCCACTCATCAACAAAAGACAAGTGCAAATATCTTCACAGCAATGCTATTATTAATAGCCAAAATTTGGAAACTATTCAAGTGCCCATTGACAAAAGAATGGATAAATAAATTGTAGCATGTTCACACACTGAGAATGAACAAAGTGGCACTATATGTAAACTCTGCTGAATATTACAAACAAAATGAGTTGAGTACAAAACCCAGACACAAGCCCAGCTGGTGTGGCTCGGTGGTTGAGCATCAACCCCTGCACCAAGAGGTTGCCAGTTTGATTCCCGGTCAGGGCACATGCCCAGGTTGTGGGCCAAATCCCCAATGGAGGGCATGCTGGAGGTGGCCGATCGATGTTCTCTGTAATCGATGTCTCTCTCTCTCCCTCTCCCTTCCTCTCTCTCTAAAAATCAATAAAGGAAAAAAAAAAAGACACAGTATATGATTTCATTGATACACAAAGTACAAAACAGGCCAAATAATCTGTACCATTTGAATAGCAGGATTGTCATTACCCAGTGTGCTGACATGTTCATAACCCCATAATTGATGATTGGTAAATTATTGTGCTGACT